GTGTGTCTGTGTCTGTGTCTGTGTCTGTGTCTGTGTATGTCTGTCTCTGTGTCTGTGTATGTGTCTCTGTGTGTGTGTGTGTGTGTGTGATTATATATATATATATATATATATATCATACGTATGAAATATAATAATTTGTGTTTATGTATATATATATGTAGATAGGCATGTGGGTTAATGAAACTCACCTACGATCCAGGTGGAACGCAAAAAGTTCAATCAACTCGACAGACTGTTAAGTGATTGTTGCTGCTCAAATACCTAACGTACTACATGTCCATATATATACTACATCAGGTAGTACTGGTGAGCATATACCCGAATTAATGATCATAGACATCTTGTAAGTGCAAACCGTTCAACTATAGCAGGATGGAGAACGGTCACTTATTAGCCACGTATAGATCTCTGAAGTCGCATATAATAAAACTCAGCTAAACCCCTAAGTACACACCTATCTTGCTTTAGATGTCTTTATCAAACATATACATATATATACCATTCAACAATTCTGATACTTTCCTTAGGTTTTCTGGACATGGAAAAAAAAGCAGTGACTACAGTAGTTGAAGGTGTTATGTGTGGATACAATTGTTTATTCGTCTGTATGCATATGTGTTTATTGAACACATACACACCTCTTAACAACGTACGTGCCCTCTTGTAGATTAGCGCCCTGGAAACCGAAAGAATGCAGTTACTGCAGCAATTGAAGGGGTTAAGTGTGGACTTACTAGATGAGCCACTAACTGATGACACTGCACTGCCAGCCGTGAAGGAAGCGAGCAATGCGCTTGCAAAGCAACTAGAAGTGAAGAAGGACGCGAAATACTACGCAGCGGAGGAGGTAATATGTATTCAAATACGCGTATGTCGTTATGCAAGTATGTTTATTAAGATATATGTATGCAAATATGTTTATAAAGATATATGTATGCAAGTTTTTATGGCATATATATGTGCGTGTGGGTGAATATGCTGCTGGGGTGGTATAAACGTGTAGAATGAAACGTATATTTATAGACGTGTACAAGTATATGTGTACTTGGAGATTACGAGTGATGAATGTACTAAGGAGTTGATAAATGCTATGTTAGTAAGTAGTATACCTCCTCTCGGAGTACCTATACTGCGAATTCCACAAGGGTTGTTGAATAAACAGAGCAAATTTTCTGCGTGCTTTACACATGTGAATGTGATCTGCGAATGTGATCATACATACTAGATGGAGCAAGTCCAAGTCATTGGCATAGAGGGAATCTCAGGTAGCGCATCTGTGAAATATATCTGCATATCCAGTGATATGTGTTATTCTGTATTTATATATGCATACATGCACGTTGCTGTATAAGTTATCTGTAAGTGTGGTATTGGTGAAAGCACATATCCAGTGATAGATATGTTTGGTTGTGTAGTTATATATGTATATATGCACGTTTCAGTGTATAATATATGTAAGTCAGGTATAAATGAAGGCGCAACGGGTGCGTGCTTTTGCCTCACTCACGCATATTATATATATATATATGTGTGTGTGTGTGTGTGTGTGTGTGTGTGTGTATGTATGTATATATGTATGTATGTATGATATA